ATAGATAGATAGATAGATAGATAGATAGATAGATAGATAGATAGATAGATAGATACATACATACATAGATGATTGAGAGAAAGAGAGAGACAGAGACAGATGAGACAGACAGACAGAGAGATGAGAGAGAGAGAGAGAGAGAGATCACACAAAACCCCTTCTCAGTTTGACAGGGTTGGTGATTACTGAAAACAGTCTGGAAATGGGAAATTGCAGCTTGTGGCTAGATCAGCATTTGGGTTCGCAGCCATGTATGTGACTCAGATAAAAAGGAGTCATTTTGGATTTTACTCCGCCAGCCATTGCTACTCTTTGGGTGGTGCTCATCCCCATTTTGGAGCCATTGAGTCAGTCACGTGGCCAGCAGGGCATCACAGAATGCTGTTTCCTCCCCGCCAAAATGCTACCTATTTATCTACTCTCATTTGCATGCTTTCAAACTGCTAGGTTGGCAGGAGCTGAGGGGAGGGGAGGAGCTCACCCTGCCACCTGGAGCTCGGGTCTCAAACTTGGGCTGCCCGTTTTCCGGTCGACAAGCCCAGAGCCACCACACTACCCAATGTGACTCAGAGCTGGAAAAAATATGTGCTGAGATGTTCCTGCACATTATCTCACAGGGTTCTTCTTCAGTGAGAAAAACATTGTGTGTCTTTCTTTGTTCCTCTTTCGGTGCTACTCCAACTTCCTTCTAAAGTCCCTCTGAGCCTTCCCCCTTTCCAAATCCCAACGTAAAGCAAAATATCAACGCATCCTACCTCAAGAAAAGGAAGACAATGGTGATGAATGAAGCCAGAGCTGAAATGATGCAACCAACATAACTGACAATGCTCAGGTACTCCTTGTGGATCTTGTCTATATCTGAGGAGGGGAGCTGTGGAAGAAAAAGCAGGAAGGGAAAGATCTAACAAATATAAAGACTTTCCAGAAGCTCCAGGACTGGAGGCATCATTACTGTTTTGAATGTGGTTGGTGGACTACAACTAGAACACTTTGCAAAAAGGAGTGAGGCCTTCAAGTCCAACGTCCTATCAGGGGTCAAATCCCTGGAGGATGGCTGTCTTCCTCTTGAACACATCCTGTGAAGGAAAACTTGCTATCTTCCTAGTTAATTAGCTCCACAGTGGAACAGCTTCTCTCCAGAATGGAATGGCTTCCCTCCAGAAATAGTGGGTGCTCCATCATTGGAGACTTTCAAGAAGAGACTGGACAGCCACTGGTCTGGAATGATAAAGGGTCTCCTGCTTGAGCAGGGGGCTGGACTAGAAGCAGTGGCGGTATTCAGCCGGTTCGGACTAGTTCAAGCGAACCGATAGCGGTGACCTGAAGTGAGCCATCTACCTGCCTGGCTCTATGTCCTCCTAGCCAGCCACGTTTTCTAAGCAATGCGCATGCATTCAAACCACAAGCAAAGCACACACACAGAAGGCTGCGCACATGCGTGGAAGGTACAGGCATTTTCATCCAGTATTTTTTTGCCTTTCTTGCCTTCCTTGGCAAATTATCTTTACTCCAGGCTAAACAGGTCAATCTCTCTTTTAGGATTGGTTTTCCAGTTCTTTTTTTCTTTATGGCATTTATCCCTCCCTTCCATGGCATTTATCATTACTCTGGGTTCATTCCAGTCCATTCCCTGGAAAATCAAATATGCATTTGTTTACCTTCAGCTTCAATTTTTTTAAGAAAACCTAGTTAGTTAGTTAGTTAGTTAGTTAGTTAGTTAGTTAGTTAGTTAGTTAGTTAGTTAGTCAAACATGTAAAAGATAACAGGTATAGGTATAAACATAAATATGAACACAGTAAATGGGGTGCAAATAAATGGGGACAGTAGGATAGGGACAGTAGGCATCAGTGATGGGGTTCACCCAGTTTGCACCAGTTCGGGAGAACCGGTTGTTGACTTTCTGAGCAGTTTGGTGAACTGGCTGTTGTAAGAAAACATTAGGACAGAGAACTGGTTGTTAAATTATTTGAATCCTACCACTGGTAGGCATGCTAGTGCGCTTATGCACGCCCCATCTATGGACCTCTTAGGAACGGGGTCAGGTCAACAGTAGACAGTCTTAGGTTAAAATTATGGGGGTTTGGGGATGTTGAATGATATTAAATAAATAAATAGAATTCTACTATTATATAGTTGGTTTTTCTTGGTTAGGTTCAAGGGTAAAAGATCTCCTGAGGCCTTCTGATCCCTCATCACTGGTCAGCCTCCCTGAATTTCTGGGAGTTGTAGTCCTCCATCATCCTTTGTCCCCATCATGTCCTCTGCAGCAGAGGTGTTAAGCTCAAGGCCCGTGGGCCAAATCCAGCCCACAAAGTGCTTAGATCCAGCCTAGGAGGCTGCCCTGGAAACAGCGAAGGATTGGCCCACTGTAGCCCTCCCGAGCTCTGTTTTCACTGGCAT